GCGTGCTGAAAGTAGACTATGGACCAAACATGATGGCCGCTTGATAGCGGTATTGAAACCATAACATCCAAAAAGACAGAGAGAGGAAGAGGGAATGTGGCTGTCACAGAAGCGGGGTGGGGGGGAAGGTGGAATGGCTACTGGGAAGATTCGTGGTGGAGAATGGGCTCTGGATTCGAATGGGTTCTTGAACATTGTTTGAAATGTAATCATGAAGATTTGTAAGTTGTGACTTTATCTCATGGTGGTTCATTAAAATAAAAAAATAAAGACTAACTCGCAGAGCACAGTGAAAAAACAAAACAAAACAAAACAAACAAAAAGATTGTAGGTGCTGGAAAGAACTGGAAGGCCTGCAGACCCTGCCAGCAAGGGGTCATTGGGAGGGGGATGGTACCATCATCAGAATTTTCTGGTGAAAGGAACCATTTCTGGTGAGCCCTGTCTGAGTCTCCAGAGCCTCCAGCTCTCTGCACTTGGCCCGGCGGGGACAAGCCAACCCCCACGGGACAGCAGGGACAAGGGGGCCACCGGGAATAACCGCTGCCACCCAGGTGCCCGGCTCAGGCTGTGGGTCTCTTCCCTCACGGGGGGGACACGGGCACTTGGAGGAAGCGGCTCAGAGCCCCGGAGGAACCAGCCTGAAGTGACGCTGCAGCCCGGGACAAGAGCAGCTTCGGGTGCGTCTGGGTCTGGGTCTGTTCCTTCCCCCTTTTCTCCTCTGTCCATGCCCCCTACGGTGTGTCTTGGTATTTCCAAAAGGCCTGGACCTCACACGAAGAGCAAAAACCAGGTTTTTGAATGATGAGATCAAAGATCTTTATAGGAAGTTTTGTGGGTGGACAGGTTTTGGGCTACAGCCAGTGTGATCAGGAACTACTGCTGGCTCCATGCTTAGGGGTCCCTCAGGGGTGTTTGGGGGTCCATGGGGGTGCCTGATACCTAACTCTGTGGTACTCAGTGTTACTCTTGTAATCAGCCGTGTGTCCGGCAGTGCCTCAGCCCCTGGACTCTCGCTCCAGCCCCTTCTGTTGAGTTTGATGTGATCTTCGTCACAGCCCTGGAAATAATGGGAGCCTTATAGTTTCAACTGAATTAATTCATTTACTTATATAATATATTCGAATCTTCCGCCCCTCTCGGAGAGCCCGGCAAGCTACCGAGAGTATCCCACCCTCATGGCAAAGCCTGACAAGCTCCCCGTGGCGTATTCGATATGCCAAAAAGAGTAACAGCAAGTCTCACGATGGAGACATTACTGGGCCCGCTCGAGCAAATCGATGAACAACAGGAGGACAGTGCTACTTATATAACCACCCTTAAGGATAAAACTGTTGTGGTCTGTGAGTCAATCAACATATTTCTCTTCCCAGCAGTCCTGGGAGAGACCTCAGGGCTATAGCTTCTTCAGAGTCCCCTGTTTCATATCCAGTGTTCCCTTCTCTGTCCCAGGGGTCAAAGCAGCGCCCAGAGCTGCTCCTTCAGCTCCTTCTAGCCGGGGCAGCGTCTCTGCCTCTTGTGTCATTAACCTCGACGAGGGGACACGTGCTGCTCACCTGTATCCTTAGTGACCCTCGGTTGGGATTCGTCCAATGTTTTCCTAGTGTCTAGATGTGACTGCTTGGGTACACAGGGTTTGGGAACAGAAGACCCCATGGAAATTAATTGTCTGGGTCTTCAAACAACAAGTTCTGTTGATTAACCTCTGGGCCATTTTGCAGAGGAGATGGGGAGGGTGGCGCTGAGATGGCCACGTCCAGGGTCCCCCACTTCTCTACACCCGGGCTGGGGGTCCTGGGTGTGAGTTGGTCCAGCATCAGTGGCCGCACTCTGAGGGGGCCCAGAGTTCACTCCAGCTCAGCTAGATGCTGAGCTGGTCCCCCAAGGAAGGACTTTTCTTGGTTAGCCCCAGGCTAGGAGCACTGGAAGGGTCATCCAGCTGATGAGATAAAAACCATAAAACAGGGGCTGGAGCAATAGCACAGCGGGGAGGGCGTTTGCCTTGCACGAGACCAACCCGGTTCGATTCCCAGCATCCCATATGGTCCCCTGAGCACCACCAGGAGTAACTCCTGAGTGCAGAGCCAAAAGTAACCCCTGTGCATAGCCAGGTCTGACCCAGAAAGGAAAAAAACAAACACCATAAAACAGCCCTTAGTAAGCAGACAGGGAGACTGAGGCTCGGAAGGGGACACGACCAACAGGCTTGGGCCAGTTCCCATTGGGACCAGGTATGCTTTTTTTTTTCACTGTATCACTGTCATCCTATTGTTAATCAATTTACTTGAGTGGGCACCAGTAATGTCTTCATTCGTCCCAGCCCTGAGATTTTAGCAGCCTCTCCTTACTTGTCTTTCCCAAGGATTAGAAGCTCTTTTAGGGTCAGGGGAATGAGACCTGTTATTGTTACTGTTTTCGGCATATCGAATACGCCACAGGGAGTTTGCCAGGCTCTGCTGTGTGGGCGGGATACTCTTGGTAGCTTGCCGGGCTCTTCGAGAGGCATATACATCCACTGTCCACTGTCCACTGTCCTCCCGTTGTTCATCGATTACTGTTCATGATTGTTGAATCATGTCCCTCTGTGATTTTATGGAAAATGGGCAGGGAGTGTCTTATGATGTGTCGCATGGCTGCTTTGCGACCACGCAGTCCAGGAATATGTTCACTCATGTGTGAAGCTTGGCCTGAGCGTGTGGAAAGCGGCCTGGAGCATGGGGCGATTGGGTCGTGGAGGTCGGCTGCCGGGGCTGGTCCCTTGGGGCGAGGAGGCTCTCCCCTGTCCCCTCTGGGGCGCCCCGACTGAAAACAGTCCAGTGGCATGGTTATGGAGGCCCATTTGATGCTCCCTTCCGGGAGAAGCAGCCGTGAGTTCTGGAGGGTGGCTGAGGGGGAGATTATCTGGCGCTGGCAGGAGGTGGTTTCTGGGTGTGATCCCTGGGTTCCTGGAGACTGGGGGAAGCAGGCAGAGGATCTCTGCTCCCGGGTCCTGTTGAGCCCAGGGTCTAAGATCACAAAGTTCCGCATTGCCTGGGTTCCATGGGACTTTGCTCATGCGTGAGGCTAGGCCTGAGCATATGGAAAGTGGCCTGGAGTGTGGCAGTCGTTGGGTGGTGAAAATTTTTTTTAAAATTAAATTTAAAAACAAATTAATATTAATTTTTAAATAATTAAAACAATTAATTAATTAATTACCACTGTCACTGTCCTCCCATTGTTCATTGATTTGCTCGAGCAGGCCCAGTAATGTCTCCATTGTGACACTTGTTACTGTGTTTGGCATATCGAATACATCACGGGGAGCTTGCCAGGCTTTTCCGTGCAGGTGAGATACTCTCAGTGGCTGGCTGGGCTAATGTAGGAGGACTGCTATTTGTTTAGCCATTGATTAAGCTGAGTGAATTGGGCATGAGCTCCACATTACTTTTTTTTTAAATTGTATTGTATCACTGTGAGATAGAGTTACAAAGCTTTTATGTTTGCGATTCAGCCATACAATGATGGAACAACCACCCCTCCACCAGTGCACATATTCCACCACCAACATCCCCAGTGTCCTTCCGTCCCACATCCCAGTCCTCACCCTGCCTCTACGGCAGACAATTTCCCCAATATTTTCTCTCTGATTTTGGGCATTATGTTTTGCTCAAATTGACCCACCGCCATTCAAGCCTATTTGCAAGGGCTAGATAATTAATATTGATGCTAGATAATTAATTTTCCATTGCTCATTTTGAATATCATGAGGGCGATTATAAATGTAAATTTCTAGATGGTAAATGCTTGGGTCCCAGAGACATCCCTGTATAGCACTAATCCATTTTGGGATTCAACTTGGAGTCTCTGGGTCAGGGCTGTTGGTGCACTAAGATGGCGCCCAGAGGCAAATTGTGGGCGTCACAGCCAGCCTGCTGAGTGGGGGGGGGCCTGGGGAGGGACAGCCTGGGGACCCGCTTCATTCCCTGCACTTATGGGCACTGCAACCTGTCCATCAGCAGTCAATAATAGTCAGAATCAGGGTTCTTGGTCTTGTCTCAGGGTCTCATGGTTGATGGTGACATGGGGCTGGTGGTCACTGTCCGGGACAGGGACACTGAGAACATCTCCACCATCTGGACAGTTCTATGGTGCTGAGCTGATTAGGATGGACTAGAGCCTGCCTGGTGCCTGCTCCCCGAGGCTGGTGGAGGCTGTCAGATCTATTGAGGGGTCTGCGGAGATCATCCCTGGCAAAGGTCTTGCTCTGCCCACGCCCAACTCTGGTTCCACCCCTGGCTCCTCTTAGGAGCTTGTGAGCACAGCCAGGAGTGACCACAGAGACAGGAATAAGGATCAGAAAAAGTACAGTGAGTCGGGAGCTTCCTGCCCATGGAGTTGACCCAGGTTTGATACGCAGCACCCCACTGGACCCCCAAATACAACCAGCGGTCACTCTTGATCACAGAGCAAAAAAGTAACACTTGAGCACCTCGGAAGTGGCTCAAAAACTGAGAGAAAGAGAGAAACACACAGACAGACAGACTGACAGACAAACTGACAGAGTGTTGTAGGAAAAGGCTCTAACATGTTGAATAATGGCGGCCGGCGGGTGGACAGGGAGATGCTGGGTGCTTCAGTGCTTCCTCTGCACGCGCCAGCCCCTTCCAGATCCCTGCTACTTAGTCAGTGAGAGCTTGGGCCGAGTGAGTCCCTCTTAGGAGAGGCAGTGAGGAGGACGTGCGGCTGGAGGCTAGTGCTGTAAGGTGGACAGAGACTCAGAGGCGCTGAGCCCGGCGCAGGGTGAACACCAGGAGGTGGAGGTGGTGGGTCTCTCTCGGGTCCCATGGGAGTGTCCCTCTAATTCACAGCCGGGACAGGAAGGAAGCAAACAAACGACCAGGAAGGACCTTCCTGTGCTCAGGAGACAGAGATAAATCCATCCCCAAACACGGGACTGTCAACAGATGCTTTATTGGGGGGAGGGAAGGCAGGAGGCCGACAGATCCTCTCAGAGGCGACGCTCATTCCTTGCAGAACTTTTTGTCCAGGTTCTTGTACTCCTTGTTGTATGGGGCATTGGCAAAGCACATGGCGGCAGTGCGGTCACATTTGCAGAGGAAATCCTCGCAGGGATTGTTCTCGCCTGGAAGGGGCAAGAGGAAGGGAACTGAGCAGGCGGGAGGGACCCACCCGCTGAACGGAGCAGGGCCAGGACAGCAAACCGCAGTGGTCTGAGAACAATCTCCAGTGCTTCGTTCGGGTTCACAGAGTTCCCGAATCAAAGCGTGCAGTGACAGCTACACAACCAAGGTGACTCTGGGGACAGTGGCTAAAGGTGCGCTCCTTCTGCGAAACCCCAACGGAACCGGCAGCCTGTGCCTCCCAGGTGATCGCAGGCGAGGCTGCTCCTGCTCCTGCGGGAAAGCCTCTCCTCTGTCCTTCCAGCGCCGAGGGGCTCAGTGCCTGCAAACCCATCGGCCACAGAGCGTGGATAGCACGGGCAAGGAACTGGGAAGTGCAGGGAGCACCAAGACATGCTCAAGGCACAGAGCATTGTAACCCTCCCCTTCCCTTCGCCCTCCCCTCTCCTTCCTCCACCCTTCCTCTCCCTCTCTCTTCCTCCTCCGCTTCCCCTACCAAATCCCCCTCCTCCCCTCCTCCTCCTCTTCCCGCTCCTCCTCCTTCTGCTTCTTCTCCTTCTCTCCTCCTTCCTCCTCCTCCTCCTTCCTCCCCCTTCTTCCTCTTCCTCCTCCTCCTCCCCTTCTTCCACTCTTCCTTCCTCCTCTTCTTCCTCCTCTTTATCCTCTTCTTTTTTCTCTTCTTCTTTCTCTTTTACCTCCTCCTCCTCCTTCTTCTCTTTTCTGTGATCTGATTTACTCCTGGCCCTGAAGTCAGGGATCACTCCTTATGGGGCTCAGAGGCTGGTATGTAGTGGTGCTGGGAATCAAATCTGGGTCAACAGCATGCAAGGCAAGCACCCCACCCACTGTACTATCTCTCTAATCTCTAGTGTTGATTCCAGGTTCAATCCCCAACGCCCTCCAAGGTCTCCTCAGCCCCACCCGGAGTGATGTCTGAAAACACAGCCAGGAGTCGGCCCTGAACACTGCCTGGTACAACCACAAATCAAATCAAAACAAAGCAAAACCAACAGAAGGACGGGAAAGATAGTATAGAAGGTAAGGTATTGTCCTCATGTCACTGACCATGGTTCTATCCCCCACCCCACATATGATCCCCTGAGGATCACCAGGGGACACTCCTGATAAGCACAGAGCCAAGAACAGCCCAGGAGCACTGGAAGACGTGTCCCCATGGGTTCGATTCCCAGCATCCTATATGGTCCCCTGAGCACCGACAGGACCTGAGAGTATGAGCCAAGAGTAACCCCTGGGCAATGCTGGGTGTGACCCAAAAGGCAAAAAAAAATGTGTCTCCCAACAAAACAAAGCACCCAAACACCTACGTAGTGACGTGGCTCAGTGGCAGAGCACCTGCCTTGTGGGTATTATCCCTGGCGCTGCCCTCTATGCCCAAGTGGCATCCCTCTGCCCCTGTTCTTTGTGACTCCAAGTGACCCCAGTCATCACAGGAGTCACAGCCACTAGCCGCAAGGAGAAGGAGATCAGAGAGGAAGAGAAAGAGGACACCAGCCCTTGCCAAGTTAGTCCCTGGGCGAGTGGCTCGGTCTTCGGAGGCTGAGTTTCCTCCCCAGTCAGGGGGACAGCAGCACTGCCTGCCTGTGAGGGTGTTTCAGGGCCTGTAGCTGCCCGCTGCGTGCATTGGCAGTGATGCCGTCCCAAGCCTGCCAAGGTCACCCGGGAGGTGCACTTACTACTGCAGGTGATGTCGCTGTCGGTGCAGGAGTAGGAGTATGGTTTCAGTAAAGTCATTAAGCCCAGGAGAGATCTGCAGTGTCCCAGCTCCACGGCTTGGCCCCAGCACCTGTCGTGTGCCTGGCAGCACCTGGAGGGGTGAGAGATGGGGGGGGAGGGAGGCGTCAACCAGCCCTCGACCTTTCGGTACAGGTGATGTGACCCCGAAGACAGCAGTCCTTTGGCTTGAAAGCAATGATGTTCTATGCTGCTTGCTGAAGACAACTCACAGGTCGTGCAGGAAACCTCGGCCGGCTGCTGCTGAGGGACGGTTAGGAGCAGCCCTAGGGGACCGCCCAACGGGGCCGGCTCTCTGCTTTGCGACGTTTCGCCGCTAGAGGGCAGCAGCAACCACCGCCTCGGAGCTCGGACTCGCTCTCGTCCCTCAGAAACTTTCAGCAGCGTCTAGGGAAATCTTTGCTTGTTTATTGAAGTTTCTTCCTTTCTTTTTTTTTTTTTTTGTTTTTTTTTTTTTTGTTTTCTGGGCCACACCTGGAAGTAGTCAGGGGTTACTCCTGGCTCTCTGCTCAGGAATCATTCCTGGTGGTGCTTGGGGGACCCGATGGGATGCCGGGGATTGCACCCGGGTAGGTAGCGTGGAAGGCAGACAACGCACCCGCCGTCGCTCCAGACCCAGGTTGCTCATGGCAAGAAGTGCATGACGGTGCTAACGTCCCAAACGTGCCTCCTCCCTCTCGGTGCTCCCCCGTGGGCTCCGTGCAGTGGACTTGCCTCGCACCACGGGCTCACCGCGCCTCCTGCCACCCCACACTCACCTGTCCAGTTCGTCCACGGGGGTGCCCTCTCCACCCCTGCCACAGTAGCAGCCGTAGTTGTTAAATGTGAAATAAGGCGAGAAATAAGGCAAGTTGTCAGGGATCAGACAGGAGATCATGTTGCTGAACTGCCAAAATGCCCTCAAGCTGGCTTCTTCCGCTGTGTTGGCCACTGCAAAAGGACAGGGAGAGCTGAACTCCATCCTGGGGGTTCTGCTGGGACTTACATGCCCCCCTGCCCACTTCCCTCTCAGCCCTCCGCACCTTACAGCTGCCTGCTTGCAAGAGTGGAATCTAGTAAAATAAATAAGATCTCTGTGTGTGTGTGTGTGTGTGTGTGTGTGTGTGTGTGTGTGTGTGTGTGTTGTTTTGTGCCACATCTGCTATCCTGGGTCTTACTCCTGCTTTGTGCTGTGCTCAGGACTCACTCCTGGTGGGCTCAAGATTGAACCCAGGTTGGCTGAAGCCAGGCGAATGCCCAGACCAATGGACTATGTGTCCAGCTCCAGTTAGACCTTGCCTGAGGAAAGCGAAGAGGTCACTGAAGTTTCCTATCCCTACATCCACTTGCCTTCGTAGTGCCTGCAGCAACCAGAGGCACCTCTTTGTCTCAGGTACCCTCCCCCCCAGGTCCAAGGAGGGGGGTCTCAGGAGTTTGAGACCCCCGAGCCAGTGGGATCAGACGTCTGGAAGGTAAAGGAATGGGATCATCATTAAGCTAATGGAGCATGGACTGAGCGACAAGAGGTCCCCTCCGCCTGCAGTGACCGCCCAAGCCCAGCCCCGCGGCCAGGGGGAGCAGGGCACTGGCCCCTGCCTCCCTCAAGAGAAGCCGCCAGGAAGCGCTTTGGGGGTCACCCGTGGCTTCGCCTCCAGCCTGGCCCCTTCTCTCTCTGGCCGGCCGCTCCCTGTGAGTCAGACTCCAGGCACAGGCGGGAGGCGGCTGGGGGCTGCAGCCTGTGGGGGCAGAGGCCCCACCTGGGAGCTGAGGCTGAGTGGCCTGCCCCCGAGGCATCTCCAGCTCCCCTGCAGCCCACCTGCTCTTGGCAGAGGACACAGGGCCCGGGAGGGAAGGGGGGTTCCGAGCACTGGGAGCGCCTCCCTCTGAGTGGCCAGTGGCCAGTCTCTGCCCAGCCTGGGGCCATGGGGGCTCAGCTGCCTCCAGTCTGAGGGGAGGATGAATGACTGAAGGCTGCCTGGAGGAGGCGGGATTTGGGTTCCAGTGTGTGTGCCTCCCCTCACTCACTCCAGACACAGGGCGCTCTCCCCGCTCCACAGTCAGACTCTCTGGAATCCTGGGGACCCCACTAGATGTTGGAGGAGCAGGAAGGATCAGGAAGACACAAGGTCAGAGCTGCCGAGAACTTGACCAAGTCCAGGAGGTGGAGAGAGCAGAGGGGCTCTCTCAGCTGGGGCGCGTCTGCCTTCTGAGGGCTTAGCTGGGGTTCAGGATGAAGGTAAACTGTGCCTGAGAGGGGGACTTCAGGGAACCCCAAGATAGAATTTTTTTCCTCTTTGGGTCACACACCCAGCAATGCACAGGGGTTACTCCTGGCTCACGCACTCAGGAGTTACTCCTGGTGGTGCTCAGGGGACCATATGGGATGCTGGGAATCGAACCCGGGTCAGCCATGTGCAAGGCAAGCGCCCTACCCGCTGTGCTATAACTCCAGTCCCAAGAAAGAATTTTTTAAGTGGTTTTATTTTCTGAAGTGTTTGTTTGTTTGTTTGGGTCCACACCGGAGGTTGCGCAGGGCTTTCTCCATACCGGGCACCAGAAATCACGCCTGGCAGAGTTTGAGGAATGGAGTTCTAGGATGGACTCCGGTCAGTGGGTGCAACCTACTGCACTATCCCTCTGGCACCCAGTATATTTTTTGTTTAGCTTTGTATTTTTGGGGGGTGGGAGCAAATTCAGTGACTCTCAGGCATCACTCCTGGCAGTGCTCATGGGACCGTATAAGGTGCCTGAAATTAAATCAGGTTGGCAACTTGCTAGGACAAGAAATTTCCCCACTGCAAATTTCTCCAGTCCTGAATTTATAAGTAGATACTATTTATTTATCATGTTTTGGAGTCATCTCTGGACTTTCTCAGGCTTTCCTCCTGACTCCACAATCAGGGATCACTCCTGGCAGCGTTAAATCCATACTGGTACTGAGGATGGCGTTCTGCACTCTCGTGGCCTATTCCTGCCTCTGCTCAGGGGACCATATGGGATGTCAGGGATTGACCCAGGATCAGCCAGTTGTGTACAAGGTAAACATACAACCCATGTACCAGCTCTCTTCGGCCCCTTCATGTATTTTTATTTTTAACATATTAAAAAAATTTTATTTTATGGGCTGATTCGGAGTCCTCAGGGTTACAGCTAGAAATACTCGGCCGGGGGGAGGGAGCGCGGAGTGATCGCACAGCGGGTAGGGCGTTTGCCTTGCATGTGGCCAACCTGGGTTCGATCCCCGGCATCCCATATGGTCCCCCGAGCACCGCCAGGGGTGATTCCTAAGTGCAAAGCCAGGAGTAACCTCTGAGCACCGCTGGGTGTGATCCAAAAAGAAAAAAAAAAGGAAGAAAGAAATACTCCGCTGGGATTGGTTCTCTGGCCTGGAGATTGTCACTGCGTGAGCCCAGTATACTCAGGGCCATTCCTGGCGGTGATGGAGGGGGAGGGAGTGCCACAATGGGACTCGGGGCCTCATGCATGTTGCATGAATATTCTTTCAGTTGGAGGCACGGAGATGAAACATGCGAGAGGAATGTAGAGAGCACGGAGGGCCAAGGCATCGATCTGGCTTGCGGTGAAGACCAACTGCCAGAGGTCTCCTTTTTATTCTATTTTTTATCAGTTACATCCTAACGATTTCATCACAGAGAAAGACTCACTAAAGAGAGTAAAGCAGTTATAGGATGAGCATTCGTCAAAGGAACATCAGGGTATACGTGGTCTTGTCAAAGCTACGTCGCCATGATTAAAACGTCAGAGGAAGACACGGACTGGACACGTAGGCTCTCGAGATTATGTCCCCCGTGTTCTTGTGGTCAGTCACACATAGGGCAGCGGGAAGGCTCATACTGATACTTGAAGGTCGATCCAGATGACGGACGTAAGAGAGGGGGAGACTGCTGCCTTGTACTGCCCAGGTAGCGCGTGGCCAAGCGGGCGTTTGCGAGCGTGCTGTGCTCCTCCAGATCATCCACCTCCCAAGCTTAGTTGCCCACTTAGCGAGAAGTGGGGCCTCGGTTCTGCCTCCTGCTTGCAGGGCAGCGTCCAGAGGCTCGTCCTGATGTCCTGGCTTAGCACCAACACATGCACACCAGCCTGTGCTCCAACCCTTCGACTGTCTCCCTGACCCCACACAGACATCAGTAGGCCTCGGGGGAGCCCCGAATAAGGGTCTCGGCTCTGTCTACTATAATGGGGTCCCCGTCCAGAGCAGGCAGCTCTTAGCCGCACGCGGGTGGAGGCAGGGGGTCGCCTACCTGTGAGCAAGGCGGCCAGTACGAGCAGCTTCATCTTGTCTCAGCGGGGAGGAAGAGAAAGGACTCGAAGCCGCCCGGGCCTCCCTCCCTATATCTGCCCCCACCGAACGCCAGTGTTTGCTTTGCTCACAGCTGACTCAGAGACTCTCAGCTCTGGAATGAACTTGAGTGCCAACAGCCAGTAGATGCTGGAAAGAACTGGAAGGCCTGCAGGCCCTGCCAGCAAGGGTCATGGGGACGGGACCTGTGGTATCATCAGAACTTTCAGGTGAAGGAACCATTGCTGGGGTGCTCAGTCTTGAGTCTCCAGAGCCTCCAGCTCTCTGCACTCGCCCCGGCAGGGAGAAGCCAATCCCCCAGGGACAGTGGGGACAAGGGGGCCACCGGGAATGACCACTGCCACCCAGGTGCCTGGCTCAGGCTGCGGGTCTCGTCCCTCACGGGGGGGCGGGGTGGAACATGGGCACTTGGAGGAAGTGGCTCAGAGTCGGGGAGGAACCAGCCTGAAGTGACGCTGCAGCCCGGGACAAGAGCAGCTTCGGGTGCGTCTGGGTCTGGGGCTGTTCCTTCCCCCTTTTCTCCTCTATCCACACCCCCTCCGCTCCCCACCTGTGGGTTTGTCAGAGGACCCTGGACTTGGCATTTTCAGGCGTGCATCTGACACGAAGAACAAAAACCAGTTTTTCAAATGATCAGATCACAGACCTTCAGAACAAGTCTTGTGGGTGGAGAGGTTTGGGCTACAAGCAGTGTCATCAGGAACTGCTGTTAGTCTCGAACGTGGGGGTTCCCTCATGGGTGTTTGGGGGTGCCTGATATCAAAATGTGCTACCAGGGTTTACACTTGGCTCTGGGCTCAAGAATCACACCTGTGGGGTTGGAGGGCCCTGTGGAGTGCTGGAGATCAACTGTGGTCAGCTGTGCTCAAGGCAATGGCTTTAGCCCCTGGCTCCAGCCCCTTCTCCTCTAGAGTTTTATGTGACCTTTGTCACAGCCCTGTGAATGATGGAGGACTTGTGGTTCTACCTTGATTCATTCATTTTTATATGTATAACCCCCTTACGGATATATTTATTATGGTCTGTGAGTCAATAGCAACATATTTTTTTCTTCCCAACAGGGTGTGGCTTCTTCAGAGTCCCCTGTTTCATACCCAACGTCCCGTTTTCTGTCCCAGGGGCCAAAGCAGCGCCCAGAGCTGCCCCTCCCGCCTGTCCGGCTCCTTCTGGCTGGGGCAGCGTTTCTGCCTCTTGTGTCATTAACCTTGACTGAGGGACACCTGTATCCTTAGTGTCCCTCGGTTGGGATTTGTCCAATGTTTTCTCATGTCTAGATGCGGCTGGCTGGGTACACAGGGTTTGGGGACAGAAGATCCCGGTGGAGATCGTCCTTGTTATCACCCGACCAAGTTCTGTTGACTCACCTCTAGCCACTTTGCAGAGGAGACAGGGAGGGGGGTCTGAGATGGCCACGCCCAGGCTCCCCCCACGGCCCTCCCCACTCCCCCTGTCCTTTCTCTTCACTCGGCCGAGGGGTCCTGGGTGTGAGTCGGTCCAGCATCAGTGGCCGCACTCTGAGAGGGCCCAGAGTTCACTCGGAGTCAGCTGGACACTGAGCTTGTCCCCCAAGGAAGGGCATTTCCTGGTGAGCCCCAGGAAGGGTCTTCCAGCTGATGCGATAAAACCATAGAACAGCCCTTAGTAAGCAGACGGGGAGACCGAGGCTCGCAAGGGGACACGACCAACAGGCTTGGGCCAGTCCCCATTGGGACCCGGTACGCTTCATGCCCCTGCAGTTATGGGCACTGAGCCTGTCCAATATGGTGGGCCTCGGCAGTCAATAAAGGTCAGGATCTGGAGTGTGCACTGATGGAGGGATGGGTGTTTGATCATTATGTGATTGTAACCCAAACATGAAAGCTTGTAACTATCTCATCGTGATTCAAAAAAATTAAAAAAAACAAAGAGTCAGAATCTAGGTTCTTGGCCCCATCTCAGGGTCTCACAGTTGATGGTTACATGAGGCTGGTGGTCACTGTCCGGGACAGGGACACTGAGAACGTCTCCACCTTCTGGACAGTCCTATGGTGCTGAGCTGATCAGGATGAACTAGAGCCTGCCTGGTGCCTGCTCCCCGAGGCTGGTGGGGGCTGTCAGATCTACTGAGGGGGCCGCAGAGACCGTCCAGGGGCAAGGGCCTTGCTCTGCCCACAGCCGACTCTGGTTCCATCCACGGCTCCTCTTAGGAGCCTGTGAGCACAGTCAGGAGTGGAATAAGGGCCAGAGAAAGTATAGTGGGTGGGGTGCTTCCCTTACACACGACTGACCCAGGTTTCATCCCAGCACCCCACCGACCCCCCAAGTACAGCCAGGGTCAATTCTGAGCAGAAGGCAAAAAATGATCCCTGAGCACATCAAGGTGTGGCCCAAACACTGAGAGAGAAAGACAGAGATAGAGACAGAGGCAGAGCCAGAGAGACAGGCAGAGGTAATAGAGAAAAGGGCTCTAGGACTGGAGCGACAGCACAGCGGGGAGGGAGCGTGCCTTGCACATGGTCACATGGTCGACTTTGATTCCCAGCGTCTCATATGGTCCTCTGAGCACTACCAGGAGTAATTCCTGAGTGCAGAGCCAGGAATAACCCCTGTGCATCGCCAGATGTGACCCAAAAAGCCCCCTTTCCTCCACAAAAAAGACTAATATTAAACAATGGCGGCCGGCGGGTGGACAGGGAGATGCTGGGTGCTTCAGTGCTTCCTCTGCATGCGCCAGCCCCTTCCAGATCCCTGCTACTTAGTCAGTGAGAGCTTGGGCCGAGTGAGTCCCTCTTAGGAGAGGCAGTGAGGAGGACGTGCGGCTGGAGGCTAGTGCTGTAAAGTGGACAGAGACTCAGAGGCGCTGAGCCCGGCGCAGGGTGAACACCAGGAGGTGGAGGTGGTGGGTCTCTCTCGGGTCCCATGGGAGTGTCCCTCTAATTCACAGCCAGGACAGGAAGGAAGGAAGCAAACAAACGACCAGGAAGGACCTTCCTGTGCTCAGGAGACAGAGATAAATCCATCCCCAAACACGGGACTGTCAACAGATGCTTTATTGGGGGGAGGGAAGGCAGGAGGCCGACAGATCCTCTCAGAGGCGACGCTCATTCCTTGCAGAACTTCTTTTTGTCCAGGTTCTTGTACTCCTTGTTGTATGGGGCATTGGCAAAGCACATGGCGGCAGTGCGGTCACAGTTGCAGATGAAATCCTCGCAGGGATTGTTCTTGCCTGGAAGGGGCAAGAGGAAGGGGACTGAGCAGGCGGGAGGGACCCACCCGCTGAACGGAGCAGGGCCAGGACAGCAAACCGCAGTGGTCTGAGAACAATCTCCAGTGCTTCGTTCGGGTTCACAGAGTTCCCGAATCAAAGCGTGCAGTGACAGCTACACAACCAAGGTGACTCTGGGGACAGTGGCTAAAGGTGCGCTCCTTCTGCGAAACCCCAACGGAACCGGCAGCCTGTGCCTCCCAGGTGATCGCAGGCGAGGCTGCTCCTGCTCCTGCGGGAAAGCCTCTCCTCTGTCCTTCCAGCGCCGAGGGGCTCAGTGCCTGCAAACCCATCGGCCACAGAGCGTGGATAGCACGGGCAAGGAACTGGGAAGTGCAGGGAGCACCAAGACATGCTCAAGGCACAGAGCATTGTACATTTCCTTCTCCTCCTCCTCTTCCTCCACCTCTTCCCCCTCCTTCGTGTTTTTCTGTCGTACTCCTCTTCCTTTTAGCTCTGTGCTCAGGGATCATTTCTGACTTGGACTCGGGAGTGGGGGAACCTTAGGAGGTGCTGGGGATTTTTTCTTTTTTTTTTTTTTGCTTGTTGGGTCACACCTGGCGATGCATGGGGGTTGCTCCTTGCTCTGCACTCAAGAATTACTCCTCGTGGTGCTCAGGGGACCACATGGGATGCTGCGAATTGAACCCGGGTTGGCCGTGTGCAAGGCTAACGCCCTCCCCGCTGTGCTATCGCTCCAGCCCCGGTGCCGGGGATTAAACCCCGGTCAACCCTATGCAAGGCTAGCACCTCACCCGCTGTCCTTCCTCGGGTCCCTGGTACAGGTGCCAGGTGTAATCCCCAGCATCCCATATGGTCTCCTGAGCCCCGCCAGGAGACATCTCTGTGTGCACAGCCAGGAGTCAATCCCGAGACTGCTGAGTGTGACCCAGAACAAAACAACCCAGTACCAGGGCAGAGGAGAGAGCATAGGCAGTGCTTGTCCCGCACGCGTCTTCCGAGGCTGTCTCCTCGGCAGCCAGTGGGGGCAGCATTTCTGTCTGTTTCAGAGTTAGGGGAGAAAATTCCTCTAGAAAGCCATTTCTGAAAAGTCACTGGTTTCTTCTTCCTCTTCTTATTAACTATTATTGCCACACACGGCAGTGCTCAGGACTCAGTTCTGGCAATGCTCCGAGGACCACATGGGCTGCCGGGGGTGAACCTGGGTCAGCCGCATCGAGGCAAGTGCCTCCCTCTGTCCTCCCGCTGGCTGCCTGCTTTGTATATGCCCGCAAGCATCCCGAGTGCTCTGAGCCAACGAGAAGAGGAAACTCACTGCTGCAGGTGATCTCCCCATTTTTGCACGAGTATGAGTACATCTCGGTGTAGGGGTTGTCCAGGATGTATCTGCAGTTGGCCAACTCCCTGGACTGGCTGTAGCAGTTGTCATGTGTCTGGCAGCACCTGGAGAGGGGGGAGAGTCAGTCAGCCCTCGCTGTCCCAGGGACGGGTGACGCGGCCCAGGAGACGCCGGTCCTTTGGCTCGAAACAATGGCACTTCAGCCCGTTTGCGGAAGACAACTTAACAACTGGTTGTAGGAAACTCTCCTGGCTCTAGTCGTGAGCAGCGCCAGGGGACAGCTGAATGGGCGCCGCCTCTCTGTTTTGCAACGTTTCGCCTCTAGAGGGCAGCAGCAACCACTGCCTCGGAGCTCGGACTCTGCTTTCATCCCCGGTAGTGCTTCTATTTTCTATTATCGAATGCCATTATACTCATAATGTCAGAATTCATATTCTTTTTTAAAATTTATGTATTTATCTATTTGAATTTTGGGGTCACACCCAGCGATGCTCAGGGTGACTCCAGGCTCTGCACTCAGGGGTCACTCCCGGCTCTGCTCCAGGGACCCTATGGGATACCGGAGATCGAACCCAGGTCGGACATGTGCAGAGCTAATGACCTACCCGCTGTCCTCTCGCTCCAGCCCTAGAATTCATATTCCAATAAGTGTGCCTCCTCCCTCCCACGGGCTCGCTGCTCCTCCTGCTGATCCCACGCGCACCTGTCCAGCTCGTCCACGGGGGTGCCGTATCCGCCCAGGCCACAGTAGCAGCCGTAGTCGTTAAAGTCCAGCAGAGGCCAGCTGTCCGAGACCACGCACTTGATCATCTTGCGGAACTGCCACAGCGCCCTCATGTCGGATCTGCCCCCTGCGGCAGTCACTGCAAAGGACAGGGAGAGCTGAGCTCCATCCTGGGGGGCTCTGCTGGTGTCTCACCCCCCCCTTCCCTCTCAGACCTCCGCACCTGGCCAGCTGCCTCCTAGGAAAGCAGAATCTGGTGAGGCATGAATAGGACTTCTCTAAAAAATATTTGCAAGGGGGGGAAGCCAGAGACACAGTACAGTTGACCCTGGTCCAATTCCCAGCATCCCCAAGCACCACCAGGAGCAATGTCAAAGTTCAGAATCAGGAGTAACACCTGAATATTGCCACGTATGGCCCCCCACCAAAATTTGTTTTGGGGCCACATCCCACAGTGCTCAGGGAATTACTCCAGGCTCTGTGCTCAGGGATCACTCCTGGTGGTGCTCAGAGACCCATATGGGGTGTCAGGGATCAGATCTAAGTCAACCATGTGTGAGGCAATTGTCCTACCTACTGTACCATCCATAGGGTCCTGGATTTTTCTTTTTTCCTTTTTTTTTGGGGGGGCACACCTGGTGGTATCCACAACTTAGTCATGGTTTTAAACTCAAGGATCACTCCCGGTGGCGCTCAAGGGACCATAGGTGATGTCAGGGATCGAACCTGGGTTGGGTGCACTTTTTTTTTTGAGGCAAATGCCCTACCCACTGTACAATCTTTCTGACCCTGAAGTCTTTCTTTTAAAGAAAGGCACATTCCCAGCTCTGTGCAGTTCCCAAACAACCAGAAGGCATGAACTCGCGTACTAGTGAGTATGGTGGTCCCCCAACCCTCTCATAGCAACCAGCTCAGTGGATTTTTAGTATATTCACAAAGCTGCGCAGTGATTAGGACTGGACTTCCTTCCCTCCATCCCCCTGTTCTTCCAGGAGCCTGGCAGTCATGCCTCTGGCGCCATATAAGCTCATTAACCGGCCATGATCCAGAGACTCACAATTCTCAGCAGAGATCAAGAAGCTGCAGAGATGCCTCAGACCCCGAAGTCACCATCCAGTTAAAAATTTAACTTCAGGGCCTGGAGCGATAGCACAGCAGGTAGGGCGTTTGCCTTGCACACAGCTGATCCAGGTTTGATTCCCAGCATCCCATATGGTCCCCCGAGCACTGCCAGGAGTGATTCCTGAGTCCATGAGCCAGGAGTAAGCCCTGTGCATCTCCCGGTGTGACCCAAAAAGCAAAAAAAAAAAAAAATTTTAACTTCAGCTGTATCACCCTATTTAAACTTTTAGAATTCCTGGAGTGCGTGATATCTTACACTCTATACCACTGATGTACTAGGAGCAGCACACGTTGGATAAGGTAGAGGGTTACCAATCTCAATTGAAAAAATAGTAGCACATGAGGCTCAACCTGTAACAACGTGTTAGTAATCTCTTATATGAGAGCTTAGTGGCTCCAGGGTGAGATACAACAATCTTCACGCACTTTCTTCTAAGGAAATCTTTTTTGATCATTTTTATTTATTTATTTATTTATTTTTGCTTTTTGGGTCACACCTGGCGATGCACAGGGGTTATTCCTGGCTCTGCACTTAGGAACCACTCCTGGCGGTGCTCAGGGGACCATGTGGGATACTGGGAATCGAACCCAGGTCGGTCGCGTGCAAGGCAAACGCCCTCCCCGCTGTGCTATCACTCCAGCCCCCATTTTGATCATTTTTAAAGAATTATGCATACCAAGTTAATACAAAATAAATTATTTAGGGCCTGCTATTGGGGCAGGCTTGGGTGGTGACTGGGAAAATCCGAAATAATGGTGGTGAGTAATGTGTCATGGTGGTGGGATTGGTGTGGGAACATTGAATGTAATAAGTTATTGTGAACAACCTTATAAAAATAAAATTTAAGTTTAAAAAAGACTGGATTTCCTCCTGGGGGCTGTGTGAGGCACTCTCTGTGTTGTTTGGAGTTTTATTTTTTTTGAAAGTGTTTTTAGTTTTATATTCTGCTTTTTGGGTCATACCTGGTGATGCTCAGGGGCTACTCCTGGCTCTGCACTCAGAAATGGCTCCTGGTGGTGCTCGGGACCCTATGGGATGCTGAAGATCGTGCTGATTCGCTGAGTGCAAGGCAAAAGCCCTACCTACCCCCTGTACTAGCACTCCCGCCCCAGGTGTTTGGAGTTCTTGCCGCAGGGAAACCCAGGGCTTCCGCATGGAAAGTTCCAGATCTTTGAGTCATCCCCTGGCTCCCTTTCTACATTTGGTTAATCGTGACTCGCGCTGCTATTTTATGTGTGAAGAATCACACAGACCTCTTGGGCTTCTGTTTCTAAGGGGGGCTCATCACCTTTCTAAGCAAACGTTCTTCGAGACCCATCATGATCAAGTCATTATTCTGGAGCAGGAGAGACTTCAGTGAACAAAAACAACCTACCCAAGTCCCCGGCACAGACTAGAGGCCCCATAACTAAGACCGAGTAAGCGACAAGAGGTCCCCTCCGCCTGCAGTGACCGCCCAAGCCCAGCCCCACGGGCAGGGGGAGCAGGGCACTGGCCCCTGCCTCCCTCAAGAGAAGCCGCCAGGAAGTGCTTTGGGGGTCACCCGTGGCTTCGCCTCCAGCCTGGCCCCTTCTCTCTCTGGCCGGCCACTCCCTGTGAGTCAGACTCCAGGCACAGGCGGGAGGCGGCTGGGGGCTGCAGCCTGTGGGGGCAGAGGCCCCACCTGGGAGCTGAGGCTGAGTGGCCTGCCCCCGGGGCATCTCCAGCTCCCCTGCAGCCCACCTGCTCTTGGCAGAGGACACTGTGTCCTGGGAGGGAGAGCGCCTCCCTCTGAGTGGCCAGTCTCTGCCCAGCCTGGGGCCATGGGGGCTCAGCTGCCTCCAGTCTGAGGGGAGGATGAATGACTGAAGGCTGCCTGGAGGAGGCGGGATTTGGGTTCCAGTGTGTGTGCCTCCCCTCACTCACTCCAGACACAGGGCGCTCTCCCCGCTCCACAGTCAGACTCCCTGGAGTCCTGCGGGTCCCACCAGGTGTTGGGGGAGCAGGAAGGGACAAGAACAGGAAGCCGCAAGATGCAAATTTCGACCCCATCCTAGGGCAGGGACGTGTGGAGCGGGCAGGGCAGCTGAGCTGGTCCTGCCTTCTGAGGGGTGACCTGAAGTTTGGATCTGCAGGTGAGAATGTGCCTGGTTAAGGAGAACTTTAGGGAACCCCACCAGAGAGGTCATAGCTATTTCATTTTTTATTATTTAATATTCTTATTACTTTGGCTTTTTGGGTTTTCTGTACTCAGGAATCACTTCTGGCAGTGCTCGAGGAACCTCATGGGATGCTGGAAATTGAGCCCTGGGTTGGCCGCGTGCAAGGCAAACGCTCTCCCCATTGTGCTATGGCTCCGGCCCCAGCTTTTTATTTTTATTTTTTATTTTGGGCTACACCAAGCTCAAAATTTACTCCTGGCTCTGTGCTCAGTCGTCTCTCCTGGTGGGGCTCAGGGGCCCAGATGGGGTTCTGGGGATTGAACCTGGTCAACTAGGCACAAGCCCTACAGGCTGTACAATCTCTCTGGCCCCAGTTTATTTTATGCTCAGTTTGGTTTGTTTTTGGTTTGGGGGCCAGTGATGCTCAGGGATCACTCCTGGAAGTGCTCGGGGACCATACACAGTGCCGGGAATTGAATACGAGTTGGCCACTTGCTAGGATGAGAGTTTTTCCCACTGAACTATCTCTCCAGCTCTGAATTCATTTCTCAGGGTGCCCTCCCTCGAGGGGCTCAGGGGTTCCGAGGGCCACTACTAGAAATACCCCGCCGGGGTTGGTGCTCTGGCCTGGAGATTGTTGCAGCTCAAGCCCAGTATACTCAGGGCCACCACGGGCCACTCCTGGCCGGGATGGAGGGGGAGGGGTGCCACGACGGGACTCGGGGTCTCGTACACACCAGCCTGTGCTCCAACCCTCTGACTCTCTCTCTCTGACCCCACACAGACATTTGTAGGCCTGTGGGGAAGCCCGAATAAGGACGTCAGATCTGCCCCCGGTAACCAGGTCCCCCTTCCAGAGCAGGCAGCTCTGGGAGGGGGGGTCGCCTACCTGTGAGCAAGGCAGCCAGCACGAGCAGCTTCATCTTGTCTTGGCGATGAGGAAGAGAAAGGACTGAAACCACTTAGGGCCTCCCTCCTTATACCTGCCCCAAGACCCCAAGATAAGACTCGAGTGTTTGCTTTGCTCGCAGCTGACTCAAGTCGGCCTTGAGACTGCTGGAACGAACTTGATGGCCCGAGAGCCTATCAGTGTTGGAAAGAACTTGACGGCCCGCGGCCCTGCCAGCAAGGGTCACTTGGATGGGGCCTGCGGCGTCACCAGAACGTTCTGACAAAAGGAACAACTTTGGAGTGTCCCATCTTGGACTCTCAACAACCCCCGCTCTCAGCACTTGACCCAACTTCCCAGTTCTGGGGCAGGGAGAAACCATCACCCCATGGGCCAGCGGGGAGAAGGGGGCTGACCGGAAGTTTAGGCTGCCTCCCTCGGTGCCTGGCTCAAGCTGCGGGTCTTCTCGGGTTACTCCTGCCTTTGCACTTAGGAATTACTCCTGGCGGTGCTCGGGGGACCATTTGGGATGCTGGGGATCAAACCCGGGTCAGCTCAGCTGCATGCAAGGCAAAAGCCCTCCCCACTGTGCTATTGCTCCAGCCCCCAAGCTGCGGGTCATTTTCCTCATGCTGGAGTCAGGGTGAGACTGACACTTGACAGAAGCAGCTCAGAACCAGGGTGGACTTGACTGAAGTGACGCTGCTGGCCCAGGATAAGAGCAGCTTTGGGTGTGTCTGAGTCTGAGGCTGTTTCTGTTTTCTCTTTTCTCCAGTCCTCCAGTGATGCCTCCTTTCTGACATCCCAGTGGGGGGGGGGGGTTTGCTTCTTTTTCTTTTTGTTCTTTTTGGGTCACATCACCCGGCGGTGCTCAGGGCTGACTCCTGGCTCTGCACTCAGGAATCACTTCTGGCAGGGCTTTGGGGACCCTATGGGATGCCAGGGATTGAACCTGGGTCAGCAGCGTGCAAGGCAACTAGAACAGCCCTGCCTGCTGGACTCTCTCTAGGGCTCCTTGTTTTGTTTTGATTTTGTTTGTTTGGGGGCCACACGTGGCTGTGCTCCAGGATTCTCCCCGGCTCTGCACTCAGGCATCTCCTTGCGATATGCTGAGGGGACCATTGGGCTTCCAGAAATCCCACCTGGCTCGCTGCGTCCAGCGTCCTTCCTGCTGTACTGTCACTCGAGCCCCACTGCGGGTTTCTTAGAGAACCCTGGGCCTGGCTTTTCCAAGTGCTCAGATCTGACATGAAGCATAAAGAAACGATTTTTGAATTATCAGGTGAAAGAATTATATAGCAATTTTCTGGGGTGGAGAGGGCTTGGGCTACACCCGGTGCAGGCTAGAAACTACTGCTGGCTAGTGCTTGGGACTCAGGACTCACTTCTGGGGAGTCTGGTGGTCTGTGTGGTACAGAGAGCAAATATGGTGATGCTTGGCATAGTTGAAGTGCAAGTACTGTGGCGAAGGCGCTTGCCTAGCAAGTGCCTGACCTGGGTTCGATCCCTGGCATTCCATAGGGTCCCCTGAGCACCACCAGGATTGATTCTTTTCTCTAGAACCATGAGTAACCCCTGGGCATTACTAGACATGGCCCAAAACCAAAGGCAACAAAAACATAACCAAAAAAAAAAACCTGGTAGTGCTCATAGCTTTGTGCTCAGGCCTTATTGCTGATGGGGCTTGAGGGTGGCTAGGGGGCTTTAGGGATCAGACTGAGGTCAGCCTCATGCAAGGCAAGTACCTTTGCCCCTGGATGGTCTCCGCGGCCCCCTCAGTAGATCTGACAGCCCCCACCAGCCTCGGGGAGCAGGCACCAGGCAGGCTCTAGTCCATCCTGATCAGCTCAGCACCATAGGACTGTCCAGAAGGTGGAGACATTCTCAGTGTCCCTGTCCCGGACAGTGACCACTAGCCTCATGTAACCATCAACTGTGAGACCCTGAGATGGGGCCAAGAACCCAGATTCTCTTTTTTTTTTTTAATTTTTTTGAATCACGATGAGATAGTTACAAGCTTTCATGTTTGGGTTACAATCACATAATGATCACACACCCATCCCTCCATCAGTGCACACTCCAGATCCTGACCTTTATTGACTGCCGAGGCCCACCATATTGGACAGGCTCAGTGCCCATAACTGCAGGGGCATGAAGCGTACCGGGTCCCAATGGGGACTGGCCCAAGCCTGTTGGTCGTGTCCCCTTGCGAGCCTCGGTCTCCCCGTCTGCTTACTAAGGGCTGTTCTATGGTTTTATCGCATCAGCTGGAAGACCCTTCCTGGGGCTCACCAGGAAATGCCCTTCCTTGGGGGACAAGCTCAGCGTCCAGCTGACTCCGAGGGAACTCTGGGCCCTCTCAGAGTGCGGCCACTGATGCTGGACCGACTCACACCCAGGACCCCTCGGCCGAGTGAAGAGAAAGGACAGGGGGAGTGGGGAGGGCCGTGGGGGGAGCCTGGGCGTGGCCATCTCAGACCCCCCTCCCTGTCTCCTCTGCAAAGTGGCTAGAGGTGAGTCAACAGAACTTGGTCAGGTGATAACAAGGACGATCTCCACCGGGATCTTCTGTCCCCAAACCCTGTGTACCCAGCCAGCCGCATCTAGACATGAGAAAACATTGGACAAATCCCAACCGAGGGACACTAAGGATACAGGTGAGCAGCACGTGTCCCCCCATCAAGGTTAATGACACAAAGAGGCAGAGACGCTGCCCCAGCCAGGAGGAGCCGGAGAGGTGGGAGGGGCAGCTCTGGGCGCTGCTTTGGCCCCTGGGACAGAGAAGGGAACACTGGATATGAAACAGGGAACTCTGAAGAAGCTACAGCCCTGAGATCTCTCCCAGGACTGTTGGGAAGAAAAAAAATATGTTGCTATTGACTCACAGAGCATAATAAACATATACAAAAGGGGGATTGTAAAAAATTAAGTTAAAACCACAAGACCTCCATCATCCACAGGATTGTTACAAAGATCACATGAAACTCAACAGGAGAAAGGGCAGGAGCAATCGTACAGGGCTCAGGCCCTTACCTGGCACACGGCCACTTGGTTCCATCTCTGGGGTGGCATCTGATCCCATAAGACCTGCCAGATCGATTTCTGAGCCATAAGCCAGGAGCAAGGGCAGGAGAGACAGTAGAGTGCACCAGGCACTTGCCTGGCACAGTGTCAACCGGCATCGATCCCCAGAACCCCTCCTGGTTCCTTGAGCACCATCGGGAGTGGTCCCTGAGCACAGAGCTGGGAGTAAGCCCCGAGCACTGCTGGGTGTGACCCCAAAACAAATAAAGAAACATCAGCATCAAAAGAGAGTGACTGAAGGCAGAGAAGGACCCATCTCAGCCCCCTTGAGGAGTGAAGGCTGCTTGGGGACCGGAAGACTTGGCCAACAAAAGGCCAAGTCTCGGGCCGGAGTGATAGCACAGTGGGTAGGGCATTTGCCTTGCACACGGCCAACCCGGGTTCAATCTCCAGCTTCCATATGGTCCCCCGAGCACTGCTGGAAGTAATTCTGACATGCAGAATGATGCTGAGAGCAAAACCAGGAGTAATCCCTGAGCATCGCTGGGTGTGGCCCCCAAAGAATAAAAAGGCAAGTCTCTCTTGTGGGGACTTTCTGGGGTCCAAAACCTTCTCAGGCAGAGAAACTGGCTCTGCTTCTTCTGGGGTGATCTGGGGATGGAATGCGGTTGTCACTTCCTGGTCTTTTTTTTTTTTTTTTTAGGCAAGTAAGTTTTATTTTACAGAAGATGTGGAAACAAGACAAATGACACACATCAAGAGAACAGAGGCAAGAGCAGAGGTGAGCCGTGAGGGAATGCACCCCTACAAGACAGGGTGCCCGGCAGGGGTTCCCTTCTGGTGGCCCCTGCTGCGGCCTGTCCCTGGACAGAGACCCGCTCAGTGCAGGGTCCCCCTGGGCAGGCGCCCTCGAAGCCGCCCTGCTGCCCGGCCTCATGCCGCTCTGCGTCCCTGCCCAGGTGTGCACGACACAGCCTGTCCCAGCCAGAAAAACACTCCCTGGTGGAAAGAACAGCTCAGGGTGGCTTCTCAGCTCCTCAGGTGACAGCGTACCCACAGTCCAGCAAGGTCAGCTGGTGACAGGCTGCTACTTCTGGAAAATGCTTAAAAGGTAGCAACCAAGTTCCCCTTGCCAAGGGCCCGAGTGTATGTGTGTGTGTGTGTGGGGGGGGTGTGGATGCTGGGTTCCAGCTCTCCTAATCTGGAGTTTAGCTTTTTTGGGGGGTGGGGGCACACCTGGGGTGCTCAGGGGTTACTCCTGACTCTGCTCAGGGATCACTCCTGGTGGTGCTCAGGGGGGACTATATGGGATGCCAGCAATCGAACCCAGGCCGGTTGTGTGCAAGGAAAGCACCCATCCGCTATGCTATTGCTCCAGCCCGCAGCTTTTTGTTATTGTTCTTATTTTTGAGGTTTTGGGTCATACCTTTCGGTGTTCAGGGTTTACTCCTGCTTCTGTGCTCAGGGATCACTCCCAGTGAGTGCAGGGGACCATACTGGGTGCCAGGGATAGAGCCCTATTGAGGCCAGTGTAAAGCAAGCGCCTGACCCGTTGTCCTGGTGCTCGGGTCCCTGGCCTTTCAGCCTGAAAACTGTCTTCTGACACTCTTCTTGTCTTCCTCCTCCCTCTCTGACCAAGGTTCAGAGGGGTTAAGTGGCTCAGGATCACACAGCTGTCAAGAGGTGAAGACAGGACTTGAGCCTGCTGGTAGGTGCCCCTCTTAGTCCTGGGCTCTCTTCAACAATAATGAGAATCACTGTCACTGTCCTCCTGTTGTTCATCGATTTTCTCGAGTGGGCCCAGTAACGTCTCCATCATGAGACTTTGTTGTTACTGTGTTTGGCATATCGCACACATCACGGGGAGCTTGCCAGTCTCTGCCGTGCGGATGAGATCCTCTCAGTAGCTTGCCGGGCTCCCCGAGAGGGGCGGAGGAATCGAACTTGGGTCGGCCATGTTGGCTGTGTGCAAGGCAAATGCCCTACCCACTGTGCTATTGCTCCAGTCCA